TCATGGAGTTGAACCATGTGCTATGTCTTTAAATAACACATTAAAACTTATTGAAGAATATGAAAAAAGTAACAAAGATCAAAAAAAATTGTTACAAACAAAGTATGGAAGAAAACAGTTGCAAATAGTTGTTGAAAAATATTTAACAATAGAATATTTAAAGGTATGTATCAATAATAAGTAATTTATGTATTAATAGTTTTATGATGTAACAATAATATTTATAGAAAAATAGTAAAGCATGTCCAAATTGTTTAACTATGATTGAGAAAATTGATGGCTGCAATAAGATGATATGTAGTTATTGCAAAGCTTGCTTTTGTTGGATTTGTGGAGTACACATTACTACGAAAAATGCATATGACCATTTCTTAACTGTTGATAATGATTGTTATCGGCGTTTATTTGATATAATAGAGGAAGAAAATGCTGAACTATAATATAAATATAATATAGAAAAAGTATATACATTTTGTATAACAAAAATATGTATTTTTAATCAGTGAAAATCATTATGTATTTAGTTTCAATGTACAATTAATTAACATGTGTACAATATGTATAATACATAGAAATTAATAAACAATCCATTTTTTTGTTATATTAACAAATATCTCTTGATATATGAATCTCAACATTAGTTTCCGGTACTAACTGTTCTGTGACAGAAACTGTTAATCCATCTCCTTGATAAAGTGCTGTGTTATCTAAAAGTTATTATAAATGTTTTGTAATAAATATTTTCTAAAATTTCTAATATCTTATGTAACATTTGACTTACCAGCACATTCTTTATCACAGTCTATTAATGTTTGTTTTTTAAAAAATTGCTTCATATTTAATTCTATGAGTTTTGAACCAAATATCCAATACCCAAGACCTCCTCCCAGTATAATAGCAATATTTACATATATATTATATGTCATAACAGCTAACATTAAAAGATAACCAAGGGATGTATGTACAAACCAATGAAATATTTGAAAACTCCATGTAGACCATTGTGCACTAATAAAACAGTATATATTAATTTATAATATCAATTTATTTCTATAATTCAGTAATTTATAAAATATACATAATACCAATGTAGAGAAATATATCTTCTAATAGATTTTGAAGATATTCTTGGTAATAAACAAGAATTTTCCGATACTGTTGGATTTTGATTTCGTATAAGGGTTAAAGTACTTTGATGTAATTTAATTTGTAAAACTTTCATACTCTCATACAATATTGCAAGTGCAAATAAACCTAAACAGGTGCAAAAAAAACTGGAAGTTGTGACAATTTTATATCCTGGTAAAAGAAAATTGCCTAAATTGTTTCCAAACCAAAACCACATATGCATCTACAAATAAAGTGAGATTTAATAAGATTAAAGAATATGATTATGAGGTTATACATACCATAATTAATCTTATTTTCTAACATATAGTTTTAAGATAATAACTGAAACTGATAAGAGTTGTAGATGTAATTGTCTTCAACATTCTAAATAGCACCTAGCTTTACCACTTATTCGTTAATGACTCAACTGTATATTATTTACTACATCTTAAGTTTTATAAACAATCATACACTCTTAAACGTATTCAATTACAATTTGCCATTTTGATTGTATTTTTATTGTAAATAATAATAACATCAAGTTATATCCAATAATATTGTTAAAAATATATAAAATATAAAATTTATAAAACTTATATTAATATATACTAATAGATATTAAAATTATATATACATACATGATGTATATACATGCATGGATATATACATGATCACGTGTAGTATAATCGAATTTGAGACTCACAACATAAAAGTACTAGATCTAGTAAACTTCTTAACTTTATGTTGTTTAAAGTTGCTAGGAAACAAGTCACGTGATGGTAATATAATATGCGTATTTTAAATCTTTTCAATCATGAAAAAGCTTTTCATCAATTAAAGCAGGAGCAAAAATATGGTACTTAGCATCTTATGTTATTTCTAATTAAGTGATCAAAATAGTATATTAGAAATAAATTGATCGTTCATTGGTCAACGAAATAGAAAAGAGTTATTTTTGAAAATATAAAAATTTCACTAAGCATCGTAAACATCAATATTCGTTTAATAACTGGTAAAATTTCTGCATTCTTATATAAAAAGAAAGGTACCAATTAGAAAGATCCTTTTAAAAAAAAGGAGCCGGAAGGTGGCGGACAGAATAAAGCACGACAGCGCTATCTACATCGTTGGGACGAGCAAGCGTGGCTAATCAAAGCACTAAAAGGTAAGCCGTAAAGGCTGTTTATTTTTGGGTTTTCATTCGTCCTACAAGATTTTTTCTCGAGTAATGTGCTTCCTGGTCGTGTCGGACGGTACATCGTGTTTGAAAATCAGTTGACGAAGCAGCAATGACCACGGAAACGTAGGTGAACTGCCGGACAGGCTGTAACGTCGAGCATCTTGCCTAGTAAAGTGAAAACTCCATTTGCTCCCCTCACTCTGAACTCCCCATACCTAGCCTCTCGTTGGCGCCTTTCTAACCAATTGCCAGGCGTGCATTAAGCACTGACGTCGTACGTACGTGTGGATAATATACTGAGATTTGAGAACTTTTTTTGCGCACGTACCTTTACGCGTTGTACACGAATCTTGCGCTCTTCTAATGCAGTGATCATTTCTGTGTAGACTGATAAGAGAAAATTTCTTTCACTTTGTTACTCATAGGAAAATGAGCAGTTCTGAGGAGGTATCTTGGATTTCGTGGTTTTGCAATCTTCGAGGCAATGAATTTTTTTGTGAAGTAAGTACCTTTTTGAACGCAATATTTCATTTCAACATGTATATTTTAATCTGCTAGCTTCTTTTGAGGTTAAGGATTTTAAATTTGTTGACATTTGTTGTCCAACTAATTCTACGACTGTATTATAGTTTTGCGTAAATTTTTATTTTCTATATTTTCTATATTTCTATATTTTCTATATTTTCTACATTTTTTATATTTGTAAATACAAAAATTTCAATAATTTAATAACTATAATTTATCATGTGCGCTGGTTGATACAGTATTCTTGCAGGTTGATGAGGATTACATTCAAGACAAATTTAATTTAACTGGATTAAATGAGCAAGTACCACATTATAGGCAAGCATTAGATATGATACTTGATCTTGAACCTGGTAAGTATATTATTTACGTCTTGCCAGAAAATATCAAAGTACTTTTAAGCTTGTTTCTATTCTGTAGATGATGAATTGGATGGCCATCCAAACCAGTCTGAATTAATTGAACAAGCAGCAGAACTACTTTATGGATTAATTCATGCACGATACATTCTTACCAATCGTGGCATTGCTCAAATGATTGAGAAGTATCAAGCTGGAGACTTTGGTCATTGCCCACGTGTATATTGTGAATCCCAACCTATGTTGCCTCTTGGTCTTAGTGATGTTCCTGGGGAAGCAATGGTCAAAAGTTATTGTCCTAAATGTATGGATGTTTACACACCAAAAAGTTCTCGACATCATCACACTGATGGAGCATATTTTGGAACAGGATTTCCACATATGCTTTTCATGGTTCATCCAGAATATAGACCCAAACGTCCAACAAATCAATTTGTACCTAGGTAAGTTGAAAGAAGAATCTTTGCAAATATGCGTAATGCAATTTTTTGGAGTTCAAATGTGACAGCAAATATGTATTTTTGATAAAATGAAAAACAATATTTTTACAGGTTATATGGCTTTAAAATTCATCCTCTAGCATATCAGTTTCAACAACAGTCTGCATCAACATTTAAAGCACCATTGCGAGCTGTTAATTATAATAATGGAAAACGTTAAAAACATTGCAACATAGTTTAGAACATTTTTTCATTCTTCAAAATACAATTCCTAATTTCGTCCTTAAGGATTAAATAAAATATTATTTTTTATATCGATCTTTACACATCTTAGCAAGGCGCTGAAAAACTGATTGTTTCGTTTGACTGTAATTAAAAGTTTGAATGTGACTTGAACTTTTCGGGTTTTTCCACGGTATTTATAGCATACCGAAAAGATTCAAAAGTGACGTACCAAACTAACGTTGTGCGCCAAAGTTCATTTTTATTTCAGCTTTAGTAACAATCTTTTTTTATGTTGAAAATCATACATGTATGATTATATGTCAACTCTGGTCGAAACAAGAAAAGTGAATCACTTATGATAATTACTAGGGAGTAAAGATGCAAATAAGAATTATCATAAAGTGTATCCATTCAAACATTTTGCATCTCCGTATTTGCTGCCTAGTTCCCAAAACACGAATAAAAGCCGATCTCGAAATAGAGGAACAGGTAATAGCAGATATCGATTGCCTTCCCCCCCCAAGAAAAAAAAGAAAATACATATAAATTGATCGTTTGTTAAATATAATTTAATTTAAATATTAAGCTGTAAAAAAAGCAATTTATTTATACGTGATTTATCTTAATAAATACTGAGCTCAGATAAACAAGATTTGAAGCAAATTTAAAAGTAAAGATTATATGTATATTATTCTATAAAATCTTGTTTTTTATCACAGTTTTTTGAAAATTGCATTATATGCAACTTTTATTAACTAGAAAAAAAATTCAAAAATTTTTTGAGTATATATATTTAACATAGACAATATATATTTTAATATAGTAAAATAAAATGATTAATACTATCTTTTTTTTTATTACAATCGTTATAAGCGTTCAAAATTGTTATTTGTATATTAATGAGTTATTTTTAAATATTATAACTTTTAAGTCAAATATATTTAAACTAAATTAATTTTATTTAAAAAAGTAAAATGCATGAAAGGATTTTAAATAAGTGTATTCTTGTATCTTTTTAATATCAATATTCAACATCTATTTTAAAGATTATAAAAAAACTTGAATTACAATATAAAATAAAGTTCCAAAGTAATTTTTAAAACTTCCACGAAGTGAAATTTATTTGTAAGATCTAGGTATTTATAGTGTTTAAAGAAAATGTATTAACAAATGAATTGTAGTTTAGATTAAAATTGATTGCTTTTTAGTCATTTATTATATATTACTGAATTTTTTTTAGAGTATAAATACAAATCATTGTAACATAACATTACTCACTGTAAAAAAATATTTAAAAAAATTATTTTTATGTTTATTTTATTGTTAATTTAATAAAAAAAAATACTTTTCAATGTTTGATATCAATAATATGTTTACAATTCGCCTGAAAGCGTCAGGGTAATTTGTGAAATGTCCCTAGATTTACAGTTTTACAGAGTTATTGCAACACTGTTAGCATTGACCAATCAACGACTGTATTTAAGATTTGAATTTCGTGATGTAAACGAAAAACCGGTATGATACAAATAGTTTAGTGTCATAAAAGTCAATTATGTATTTTGATGCATATGTTCTACAAAGTTAAGTGTTTCTGATAGCATTTAATGAAAAGTGTTTTAAATCTTTATTTATACATTTTAAATTGTTTCTTAAGAATTGTGATTCAAACGATTTTTACAAGTGTAGGTACGATAATGTTTTCAGGCCAACGTGGATATACGTGGAATTGTTTTGTTTCATTTAATTTCCAAGATATTCTGATAATTTTTAAATATATCAGAGGTTTCGGATGTCCGATTATTTTAATAAATTTTGATATTTTGAAGTAATATACTTTACATGCATTTGTATTCTTTTTTTTTATTAGTGCAAATTAATTAAAGTGTATTTTTAAAAAGTATCAAATCTATCAACGTAGGTAGGTCCATGTTGAATAATATGGATTTTCAAAATCATACTGTTTCACGTCCAAAATTTCAACCATTGCGTGTGAAAGAATTACTGCATTTTTGTGAAAGCGATGATGATGAAAGTGAAGACAGACCACAAGATTCTGATAACGAATCAGATTTTGACGATGTTTATCCTCTACCACAAGATGATCATGTTGAAAATCATTTAAATATGTCATTGTTTAATACAACATGTAATGAGCCAGAAGAAACTCGTAAGGTTTCGCAGACAGTTTATTCAAAACTTCAAGAATGTGAAATAAACAATATCATTACAGAATGCAAGTCTGAAAGTAAAGCAGCATTTCATAAAAACGAACAAAATACATCTGAAAGAAGTCTGAAATGCGAACAGTCAAATCAAGTGCAATTAAATGTTGAAACTTATGTACAAGACAAGTTTTCACAAATTGAATACAAAAATAAATGTATTACTAATGTAAACATTAAAGGAGAATCAAGTCAGAATCAATTTTTAGATCAACAAAATTCTAGCCAAGTGAGCAATAGTAAGAAATCTATTGCTTCTACATCTCAACATTTGGAAAGTATGTCACAATCTGGAATAGATAATTTACAGAATATAAGTAAGAAATTTATTGCTTCTACATCTCAACATTTGGAAAATATGTCACAATCTGGAATAGATGATTTACAGAATATAAATAAAAATTCTATTGCTTCTACATCTCAACATTTGGAAAGTATATCACAATCTGAAATAGATAATTTACAGAATATAAATAGTAAAAAAGAAACATTAGAATTAATGTCCATAGCAAATGAAGAAAAAATTCATTGTGAAAATGTATCTTCCACAAGTAAGACATTAATATCAGATACAGGAACATATATAAATTCTATTGATCAGCGGATATTACAAAGTCCTTTGAAACATGCAGTTAGTTCTACACGTCCAGATCCATGCTTCTCTCGTAGAAATATTACGCAAACACCACAAAACAAATCTGATATATCTAAGAATCATGGTTTGACTCCGGCTACAATTTTATCTCATTGGTCTCAAAATAATATGAAACAAACTCCATTACAAAATAAAAGTATAAATTTTAAAGATTCTATGCAAACTCCAAAAAATTCTTTTTATTTCACATCAACTATAGGAAAACATGAAACTCCACGGTATATATATATATATAT